TCATCTAAGCGCTGTAGATAAGATAGACGCCATGAAATTCTGTGACAGTTACTACTTGACATCTGCTGATGCGCCAAGCATCTTTCTGACCCAGACATATACAAGGTGAAATACACAGTATGCCCCTGTGCGACTCTGCTCACACCTTGTCATATCAACCCTCTCACTCGTTAAAGTCATTCGTTCAAAATGCATTCGATCACGTCAAAAATACTCACTACTGCTGTCCTCTTCGCGCGCTGTGAGTCTCTCGTTCGATCCTCTTTTTCTCCAGTCTCAACCAATTCGCCGTGACGCATGTTATGTAAGACGTTACTGCTAGCAGCCCTTATTTTGACACATCGGGATACGACGTCCAGACGCTGGGCGTCGGAGCCGATGGTGCTACAACATACATCTTTTCTCCGGATACGAGCTCGACGTTACTGCCAGCGGGAGAAGAATTCGGCTTCGGCGGACCTGGTCTGTGCTCATATGCGCTCGTCTGCCGGTATCTACATTGATGCGTTGAGTGCTGCTGCAGCTACTGTTGTTATCGGCGCATCTACTTTGGGAATAACATACATTGCCACCATCAACAGTATCGCCTATATGGAGAACTGTGGTATCACCAATGGCGTTGGTGTCTGTACTGACATTTTGGAGTATGGGACCCCGGGAGCGATGTTCCTCACTACTACCGGCTTTTTCACCCAGACGTTTTCGACCAGCCCGGTCCAAGGCGGCGCTCCCACTGCTGTGACTACTACTTCCACCGGTGTGTCCACTGGGGTCACCACAAGTTCGGCGGCTTCGTCTTCCGCTTCTACAACCACCACCACCACCCAGAACAAGACCAGCGATGGCGTGAAATCCATGTTCACCCCTTTCTCTCTGATGTTGTGGGGGTCCATATTCGCTTTTCTCATGGTCTTGTGACAATATCGATGTGTGAAAGCCTCATCGGACAGTTGTTTCGTGACTTGGGTTCCAGTCGCGTATTTCTCAAGAGCTCCTTTGTTGTATTGGTGTGTCTTGTGATGACTATTGCGTGGTCACTGTATTTCATATATCGTTCTTTTTCAGTAATCGGTAATATCGAAGTCGCAACTTCCCAGATTGATCAACGAGTTAGGTATTAAGATAGTACAGCGACACAACGGGTATAGCTACAATGAACGCAGCAAAATCTCGAGCAACTATCATCTTTTCCGAGATGGCACGCCTCGGGCGACGGGGGACAAAGCGACAATCCAACATGACGCCCACAGCGCGTAGAGCGCCGCTATAGCGTGTCCGCCGTCACAGACAACGTCGCGAAGAAGCCCGAGGGCGTGAAAGCACGAGCCTGTCTTCTGATCATATTGTACATAACGTATCCTGCGGTGTTGCGAGTCCACTCATCAGAAAACAAATCCAGCACAGATGCGCACGCCGGAGTGCTCCACAAATATTTATCACCTTCGATCTGTGCCAGGGCATCTGAGCGTTCGCCTATCGAGTGATCAAAAGGTATTAGATCATGTCAGATACATCATACCATGCGCGCATGCGATCTACATGAAATGGGGACAACACGGATGCTGTAGGTCGTCGGCGTGCAATGCGGCCGAATAGGCGAAACTAGGACGATTGGGCATCCACACCGGCCAGCAACTGCTTGATGAGATCAATCGCCTTTTCGGCCTACGGCCAACAGATGAACGGCGAGGGATGGATACAGCTGCAGGACATACTGGATCTGTGTGCGTTACGCATCTGCGGGCAGTATACCTCGCTGCCCCGGATATAAAGGACCAGATGAATTACGAGCCTTACGAATATCAGGCTTGGACACCGTCCTGGCCCAGCTGCTAGAATCTGCAAGAAATCGTCCTCATAAATAATGGGGGAGAAGTTGAGTGCCAAACTGACAGGCAAGATCATGGCCATTGATGTTGACCACTCTAGCTCCTCAAAGCGTTCTGAATTGAATCTGACAGGTTCAAAATGCAATGCGGGGACCCTCTTCATCGTCCCTTGTAATATAAGAAGCGCGCGTGTTGCGTTAAGTTGGGTCTGCATGTTTGTCATGTCATGATGTGAGTAAGTCCGAACAGAAAAGCGCATATATGCAGTCCTCTCTGCTCACCAGAAGAACCACATCCACTGACTTCTCATGGACCATCTGTCTATAACCGATTCGTCCATCGATTAGGTCTGAGCCCGTATTCGACTACGCGTGCGACTATGCATGCCTTCGCTTCTACTCTCCTTTCCGACGATTGCTCGTGCGCTATCCCGGTGCTTCCCCGCCTGCGATCTGGAGAATGAACGAGGTTGATGCATGGAACGGCAGTTGACATGCACCGTGCAGAGAGGTGTCAGGGTATTCACAGGCACGTCTGGATATATGGGAGGTGACCGCTTCCGAGTCGAGTTGCTGTCGTCACAGCGGTGGCAACCAGCAGCGCATGAGTGCAGGCAGCCCCGATGGATGAACGTCTTCGTCTGCCAGTGCGGCCCCTCAGTTCCGCTGGGTAGGGTACATCGCAAGTTGATCGTATGGGCGCCATGCTGAGCCAGTTAAAGACGGGAGATGAGCCTGGTTGCTCTTGATAGACTGCTGTGTGGGCCGACCCGAGGTATATCTGCGCGTTCCCCTTCCTGCAACGATAGTTTGCAATTGCCATCCGTGTGGCATCATTACAACACATATGAGAAGTGTCGTATAGATAAGCTTTTAGTTTTCTGCGCTTGGGATCGACGTCCACTAAGCTTTGTTTAAACTATTCTGTGAGCAAGTCAGGTTGTTTGTGAGGACTTGATGATCTGTTTGCTGTCCAGTCTCCGTAGCGACCTTGCCAGGGGACATATCAACACGGTGGCGCCATGAATCTCGAGTCAGATCGTGGGCGTCCCGCGCGACATGTCCAACCTTGGCGAGTGTAGCAATTAATTCGCATCGGCGTTGTCATTCAGTGCCTGTTCTTCCCGTATATGCTTCACACTCGCATAGGTGACCTCGACCCTTGGTCCTTGTTCTCTGCGCGGTGTCCATCTTGTGTTCGCCCGCAACACAGTGACTACCGCTGTGACATGAGTTCCAATTTTGACAGTTGCAACTTGACATTTTGCTGATCCGCCCAGCAAGTCCATGGCCGCCCAGACTCGTGCAAGACAAATCGGAATGCATATAAGAAAGATGTGTCCCCGTGCACTGACTCTGCTCGCATCTTGTCGTACCAACCCTCCCACTCGTTAAAGTCACTCGTTCAAAATGCATTCGGTCGCGTCGAAAATACTTATTGCTGCCGGCCTCCTCGCAAGCTGTGAGTCTCTGTTGGTCCTCGTTCTCTCTGCTCTCTCAACCAATCTATCGCGACTTGATGTTAGATGTTGCTGCCGACAGCCCTTTTCTGATCACGTCGGGGTTCGCCTCCGTCCAAACGCTCGGCGTCGGACCCGACGGTGCTACAACATACATCTTTTATCAAAGTACGACTGGCCCGACGCAAGATGATCCCGGCCCCGACGGACCTAGTCTGTGTTCACATTCGCTCGTCTACCGGTTTCCACATTGACCCGTCGAGTGCTGCTGCAGTGACTGTTGCTATCGGCGCGTCTACTATGAGGGGGTCATACGTTGACCCCACCGACAGCATCGTTGTGATCGAGAACTGCGGCATCACCAATGGCGTTGGCGTCTGCGCCGAAATTATCGAAAACGGAGTCCCGGGATCGGTAACCTTTACTACCACTGAATATGAAACCCAGACGTTTTCGACCACTGCGGTCCAGGGCGGTGCTCCCACGGCCGTGACTACTACCTCCACCAGTGTGTCAACCGGCGTCAGCACAACCTCTACGGCTTCGTCTTCTGCTTCTACGACCACCACGACCCAGAACAAGACCAGCGATGGTGTGAAAACCACGTTCACCTCTTTCTCTCTGATGATGTGGGGTTCTGCAGTCACTATTCTCATGGTCTTGTGAAAATGTGGATGTGTAACAGCCTTCTCGTCGGACACCTATTTCGCTTGGGTTCCAGTCACATATTTCTCAAGGGCTCCTTTGTTGTACTGATGTGTTCTGTGATTGCTATTGCGTGGTCATCGTGGTCATTATAGTTCATATACATATACTGTTCTTTTTACGGTAACCAGCAACATCGAAGTCGCAATTTCCCAGATTGATCTATTCAAGTAAAAGAGTAAGATAGTACAGTGACACAACAGGTATAGCTACAATGAACCCAGCAAAATACCAACCACATATCATCTTTTCCGAGATGGGATGCCTCGGGCGACGGCGGACAAAGCGGAAATCCAATACGACACTCAGAGCGCGCAGCGCGCTGCTATGCCGCGTCCGCCACAACAGACAGCGTCGCGAGCAGCTTCTCCACGTCCGCCGAGCGCGGGGTGATCGTACAGTCAAACGGTCCCGGGTGGCTGTAATCAATCGCTTGAATCAGCGCCGCACAACAAGGCGGAACCGAGCGACACGCACCTGATAAGCTCCGCCGTATACGCGACATCCTCCTGCGCGTGAGGCCGTCCATTTGCACCCAATGGCGGGCCGACGTCGAAAGTTGCCAATATGCTAGCGACGAAGAGGAACAGCGTGTCATCTGCGATGATCTGCCCCGGACACACCCTGAGCGCGGCCAAACTTGTCAGCCGAAGATGAACACAGGAGAACGGCTGGGACATACGCACCGCCTGCCGTAGCCAAATGCAAATGCACGTGGATCAGGATTCCGCTCGCCATCCTGCTTCATGAGGTAGCGCTCTGGGACGACATCGAATGGATCTGGGTACAGATCAGGATCGTGCAGGATCGCCCTGGTCGCCAGAAGCATAATAGCAGCCCGTCAGTCGAGCGAAACGAAACCTATGAGTCGTGCGCACCAGCTGTTACCAATTACGGTAGCACCCGCGGGAATGTGGTATCCCTCATACACATCGTCTTGCATCAGCCTGTGCGGTAACGCTGCCGTGTCATCAGTCCACAGCGCAATGGACGGGGGCAGAGCGAGAGGGGGGACATACACATGGGCACGACGGGGTTCCAGCGATAAATTTCCTTGATGAGCGCGTCGACGTAGGGTAGTCTCTCCCTGTCTCCGAATGTGGGGAGCCGCCCTCGCCCGACGACGGCGTCTATCTCCGCCTGTGCAGCCTTCTGGACGTGAGGGAAGCGCGACATGATTAGGAAGAATGACTCGAGCGCAGAAACTGACTGCAATCAAGTAGGTTGAGCGTGAGGAGGCAATAATAAAATGAGAGTGGTGTGCGTACGGTATCAGAGCCGGCTGGTAAAGTGGTCAGCCACGTCTATGGGGGTGGTGGGGAGAACATGGCACACCTCCGTAGACGGACGCGACAACATTACGGTACAAGTCGTCTTCCTCGGGTGTCGGATTCGGGTTTCCCTCGATGAGTGTCGTCACTAGCGACGGCTTTGCCGTCCCATGGGCCTGCCAACCGGCGAGTATTTTTCTTCAGCTGTGTTGCGTTGTTGCAACAAAGGGTACCTACCACTTCGGCGCGGATGCGGTCATACTGGCGGTCACGCATGTCGAGGTACGTCCTGCGCATGTCGCGGGCGATGGCTTTGAAGCCCGCACCGGGGAACCAGTCAGGGATGTGGCGCACTGCGTAGGGTGGGGTGAGACAGTTGGATTACGGCAATGTGGGGAGACTCACGGGAGGGGAATATGTCGACGAGGAAGGCAGCGGGTGCAATGGGACGGCCAAAGTCGCGGTTGACGCGATCGGCGAGCTGGACCAGAGGGTCGTCGTGACCGGAGATGTTGTATGCATAAGTGATCTGGAAGACGATACTATCTACGAGCCTGCGACGGAATGAGCATCCGGAACAGAAGATGGGACAAGGATACAGACCAGCGGGTATGCTGCCGGAAATGTGCAGGAGAGTCGACAAGACGAGGGAGGAAGTGAATCATCTGGGAGGAAATGGAGGCTTGGAGGACAGGCTGAGTACGGGGACTGATGGCGGACTGCATGAGCTTGCGCCCTTGGCGGTGACGAGGGGTGTAGGGCTCGAGGGGGATGACGCGGTCGTAGCCGACGCTGAGAAAAAGTCAGGAAGGGGTCGGAAAGAGAGGGAGACAAGGCTGACAGGGTGCCAGCCATTGTGAGGACGGGGCGGTCGGAGTATATGGTGCTGCGTTTGTCGAGGAGGTCGGAGATGGTCTTGGGGGAGCTAAGGACGATGATGGATCGGCCGAGGACAGACAAATGCATTATATCGCCTGGGGAGAATGTGGATGAACGGAGCTGATTGAAACGTATGGGCAGGCAAGACATACCGTATTTCTTGGCCCATTGAGCAAAAGTGATCCATTCGCGACCGATGGGCATGTGGAGGGTGTTGCCGATGAGGGAAAGATTGCGGGGACCCGGGGGGAGGGGGGAGTTGGAGGATTTGACATGGCGGAAGATGGTGAGGACGCAGAGGAGGACAAGGGCGGCGAAGATGAGGAGAGACATGGGGGGTGGGAGGCAGGAGGCTGTGGGGGAGACGAGAAAGGAGAAGAGGATTTATAGGGAATGGGATGAGTGCGAAAGGAGACGAGGTGGGGCGAATGGCGTTGTGGGTGGGCGCAATCGCAGCCCGTCCCAGTATCAGATCGCACCGATTGCCTCCGGGTCTCCGTGCAAACCGCATCCGTCGTCGCCAGTGTCCACAGTGCAAGGCCCTCTAGGTGCCCGCGGCTTGGCTTACCACTCCCCCAGATCAATCTCGCGCACAATCGCGCCCACTGTGTCTGTGTCTGTGTCTGTGTCCGGCATTGAAGAAATATTGCATGACTGCCTCCATTCAAGCTGCAATTAAAACACATTACTCATCGGTCTCATGCTATGTCCTTGACGGCTGCACCCCCTCGGCGACTCTGTCCAGTCCGAGACGTGTCCATTTTTTTCTACACATCTGCGGCCGCTCGTTGCACAAGTGGACACTTCCCCACCGTAAACCTAATAAAACAACGGTCAATATTTCAATACCACTGGATGTCATTTTCCAAGGCCAACGTTGAGCCTGTTTGTTCCAAGAAAGACCATAAATGTCCGTCATCAGGGATGAGATTCGTCTCGGAAAGCCGCTACACTCGCTCGCTAATGATACGCCTTCTTCGCCCGGTCGATGTGTGCCCGCAGCTTCCGCTGTTTCTCCCGCAACGACGCCTTTTTCTTCCCCTTCACTGCCCCGCTCGCCATGATCATCATAATCGGCTTGTTCCGCGCCTTCTCCCGGTTCGTCGAGCTGCTCGCCGCCGCCTTGTTCTTCTTCCCCTTCAGCGACCCAAACTTTTCGCGCCCCTCTCGTCCCCGCTCAATCGACGCAATTCGCTCCGCATAGTCCGCCTTTGCTTTCTTCCGCGGCCCCAGGATGTCCATTTCAGACACAAACGCATCCTGGTCGGTGTTCCCCCCCTGCAGCGCCTTTTTGTTCGCCTCGAGCGCAGCCAACTTCCGCTTTGCTGACGACCCTCCCCCGCGCTCGACCGCCTGCGATGCCGCCTGGATGCGCAGGTCGTTCAACAACGCAAAATCCGCTGGAGTGAGAATCTGAGCGTGCGCTCTCGAGTAAGCAAGCGTGATCAGCCATCATATATCCTGGCGCTCTCACCTTGGTCGTCGCAAGTAAAGAGACGCGCGCAGCCTCGCTCGCTTCCGGCACTTCACCCTCGCCCTCTCCTTTTGCCTTACCCTTATCTTTGCCCGCCGCTTTGTCGCCCTCATCCTCGCTGTCGCTAATCTCCAGGTCTCCGTCGCTGTCCGAATCAACTTCCATCCACCCACCAGAGTCTGATGAGTCCTCCGACGAGTCCGACTCGACGTCCCAGTTGTTCCACCCAGCCTCGTCATCCTCTCCTTCGTCCCCTGATGCAACGCCTTCCTCCTCCCGCAGCTTCTTCAGATGGTCCTCAAGTAGCTATAGAAAGATCATGTATCGTCCTCATATATAGAATAAAGTTCACACTCACCACTAGACCCTCAATATCCACTGCCGCATCTGTACTGTGCCCAAACGGCAACGGCTGCTTCCCGCCCGCAACGCCCATGCTCGCCTCCTTCCCCCGCTCGCGCCGCTTCAGCATCCCCGGGTTCACCTCCCTGAACAGCTGCAGCAGCCCGCGCGCCGCGGCCGTGACCGCCTTGTCTCTGCTCTTCCGGTACGCGACCAGATCGCCGAGCAGGTCCTCCTCCATTGCCCACGGCTGCCGCCGGCACACCTCGCGGATCGCATTCAGCCCCGCCGCGACGACCTCGCTCCCGACGCCCGGGTGCACAAATTCCTGCGCGAGCTTCTGCACGACCGGCGCGAGCGCGTCCGGCGGCGTCAGATCGTGCGCCGACTGCGCGAGCGCGACGAGGATCGCGGGGATGCGCAGCTGGTGGTGCGCGAGGTACTTGACGATGTACGTGTAGAACCCGAGCACGCACAGCTTGTGCGCGCCCATCACGCGCGAGAGCAGCTGCATGAGCAGGATCTTGTGGTCCAGCGAGAACCGCTTGTCGTATCGGTTCAGGTTGTCGTACAGCTTTTCGCCGAATGTTTGTGGGTCGTTCAGGAGCTGCAGCGCGGGAAAGTTCGGCGTGTCTGATTCGGCTTTCCGTTTTTGTTTCTGTGTAGTGTTCGTAAAACTAAGAAAATACACAAGAAAAATAATACCCTACCGATTTGATCGACTTCAATGTCTTTTGCATCTTCTTCGTTCCGCTCCGCGTCTTCTTGTTGATCTCTCTACGGTGGTGCAGCGCCTTCACGTCCGGCTCCTGCTACTCGTCAGTCGCGCCTCTCAACCACGCCGCGCCGAGACGCACCTCCTCATCCTCATCGTCGCTGTCCTCCTTCTCCTCGTCGCTGCCCAAGAAAAAGTGCAGCGACGCGCTCTGGACCTTGACGACCGGATGGAAGCACCCCAGTGCGACAATCGCGACCGTCTTCGCGTCGTTCCTATCCCACCGTCAGCCCACACGCAGACCCGCACATAGCGCACGCACGCACCAGATGCCCTTGCGCCACAGCTCCTTCGCCAGCACGACAGCCCACAGCGCCTCCCCGCCGCTCTGCGCGGCGAGCCCGCCCTGCGCGTGCGCCGCGGGCGCG